GTTCAACAACAGGTGAGAAAGATTCCTCGTGTCTGCCCACTGTATGTGGAGGGATGGTGTCAGGTAATGGCTGAATTACTACTAGAAGAGCAAGGATTAGGCTTGTTAATCCTGCAGTGGGGGAAAGGAAAACACAGAACTGAGTCAGTCAAAGCAGCAGAGGTAGCACGATGTTTATGTTAATTTGTGTGTGATTTTGCCATGTTAATAGGGTGCAGAAACCAAGCAAGAAGGAGGAATCCAAGACAGGTCAGTTAGTATAGGTGAAGCAGGGAATAAACTGCAGCAGCAGAGAACATAAGGAGCAGCAAGCATTTGAGAAGAGAGAAAAATACTTATTTTTGGCCTTGCCACATGCTAAGCTGTTGTGACTTCCCCAGAAGCAATTCCTGTGACTGGGAACTGGGCTGCAGGAAACATGTTGGAATGGATGGGCAGGTTTGGCTGAAAGTGATCAGAATGAAATCACTAGTGGAAAAGGATGGGGCACTGTGAGGCCAGGCGATGGATATGCTGTCTTACAGGGATAAAGCCAAAAAACTTACTGCTGAGTTGCTGGCTTATCTTCTGCAGCTGACTGCACAGCCTGTCAAAGATTGCTTTCTTCACCCCAGACGTAGCTAACATTTTAGTTTTGTCCACTTTTAGCTTCAAACACCTACAAGAGAAAGTTGTTATCTCTGTACAAAGCAACACTCCAGCAACTATCACTCAGATAAGGGTGACATTTACTATACCAGCACTGCCTGTGAGAATGAGGAAGGTAGGCCTGAGTTTTCGTCCTGTCTAATCCTTGTCTCACTCAGAAACAAACTTGCTTAAAAAACAGGCCCCTACACTACTCACTCAATACAGCTCAGAAATTGAGACCCAGGGTTAGTTCAAGTTACATGAGGAAATTCTATTAGGAAAAGGTACTTTTCAGATTTTGAAGGAACCAGGACAAAATCCCACTACTGCAAAAAGCTGAATGGGACCTCTGTGTCAAAAGAACACTAGTCAGGAGCTGTGCAACACAGCACCTGAATCACTTAATAAGATTGTTACAAGGCATAATACTGAGAGGGAAGATACTTGCATGCAAGCAAATTCTTACAAAGGGTCTGCTGAGTCAGGTGCTCCTGACACCTATCTTTCAAGCTGATGCAGGCCTAAAGCTATTGGATCCATCTCCCAAAGGTTTTTCCTTCTTCAGAATGGCTGATTCTTGGTGCTCAGAAGTAAGCTAGCAGCCATTCTTGCACCATGAGCAGTATCTCACCAAAAGCCACTTTTTGCTTTATGCCCAGCTCATATCTATCCTGATGTGGGAAAAAAATCCCCACTAAATCTGAAAATATTACTAAGGAATTATGCTGGTTAGGCTGAGAGGAAGGAGGGTGAAGTGCAAAACACTAACAGAAGTTCTTCAGCTACTGACATGGATGTGTCCTAATAGAATTACCCACAGCATACACTTACACACTAGGGAAGACATAATGTCATTTATTTTAGGGTAACTAACTCAAGATTCTTTTCTGTATATTTTATATAATACTTCTGCTTTCTCCTGAAAGCAAATGCAGTATAGGTTGGAGACTTCTCCATTTCCAGGAGCAGGGCAGCATAATGCACTAAGCAGACCCTTCAGACTATTCAGACATGCTGAATGAATCAGCTGCTTACACCATAAGCACTGTGTCAGTTTGGTGTCTCACTAGGTGTTTAAACGCACAAAAGATCCCTCAAGCTATACTCACCTGCATGCAGTGAGTAGTGCAGCTGTTACAAAAAGTGGTTTTGAGAAATCAAGGTCCATTAGCTGTGCTTCAGAGAGGCTGGATTCATACCTAGAGCAACAATAAGAGAGAGAATTGTATAGTGCATTTGCCTCAAATGAAGCTGTTGAAATGAATTTGTCACATGGCACTACTCAGCAGTCAAACAGGTCTCCTGTTGGATCACTTGCTCCTTTGCAACCCAGTGAAGCAGAAACAGCTGCTACTGGCTGAGAAGAGCAAAACAGACTAGGGAAAAGAAGGGAATTCCCTTCTTTTGGGAAGGGAATTAGGATCATCTAATTAGGATCATCAATCTGATTAGGATCATCTCCTCTTTTTGAATTAAAGGTATTTTAACTTAGGGATCTGGGTCACTGCAGGTCAGTAAAATCTATGTCTTGTGCTCCCCATCCACACAGCACTTTTATCTCTACATTACATCTAAAAGTTACAATGAGATGCTTTGCATAAATCCATCCTATAGAGGGTAGAATTATAGTTTCTTTGACTCTTCTAATATGTATATTACACAGATGAAGGCTTAAATACAGAAAATGACATGATGGATGTGCAGCACTAGAGAATTTTTTATTGACATCTGTCCCCAAGCTGGTTTTTTTAGTTTGTATTAAGCATCAACAAGCATACACAGCCTTTGTTCACTGACCAGCAACTCAGAATATTCTAAATCCCTAACAGCATTTAACCATGGGCTATCAGGGTGACAGTACTCCAGAACAGAACTCTTCAGTGATTGCTCTTGTTAAAGTAGATGTTACAGAGTGCAAAATTTTAGTTATATCTGTTGAATCTCCATTGAATTGTTCTACCTTTTGTTTTTACAGGTACTATTCATTGTAAGAGATCTGATTCTCCAGAAGGGAGGACTTCTTTCTGTTGAGCATTACTTCTGAACTGTGACATGGAAGACAGCATGATGCTATAGACAAACACAGTGACTAAGAGTCCTATATTTTCTATACTATTCCCACTTGAAGAACTGGGACTCAGACAATGACTTACTGAGATTCACAGACTAAGTCTTTCTAATATGTATTCTAAAAAGTAGCCTAGATAAACGGCTTAGAACTCACCTCATCACTCCACTCAGTGGGAGATACCTGGCCCTTCAAACCATCAAGCTCCTTACGCATCTAATGAACTAGGAATATTACTAGTGGTTACCATTGCGCTCATGAGAGCTTCCTCACCTCTGTAGTATTTTTGAAGCGGTGCTCATTGCCTCTGTGCAGCAGAATTGCACAGCCAAGTCTCGCATTCCCAATCTGGGGTTCACCTCTAGCAAACACTCCAAAGACTTCATGGAGCTCTGGTAGGTTGTCTTCTTCAAACCAGAGAGTTTAACAAAATAGCTCTTTCAAGAAGACAAAGACAAACCCTGAGAATTAGCAAGATTCAGGCAACCAAAATAGATTAGGGAGAAACCACGCAACACCATAAAGTTCAACTACTATATTAAACAAATTTGTGTAAAGAATGATGTAAGTTTTGACTGCACACAGAAAGACTAACCACCTAGGAATGTTGCATCTTTTAATGCAGTGTTATTTTTAGACCATTTCACTGAAATGAGGCTTGTCTTTTCCATACAATATGACATGGGCCTTTTATCACAAGGTGGTTAAAAACAAAGGTAACCAAGATCTGGGCAACTTGAAGAGTTGAGCAATACTTTTATGCTACTCCTCACAGGGTCAGGTCCAATTCAATTCTCCTCTGTCTGCAAATGGACAATCATGAACGTCTTGTACCAGACATTATTTTGGCAGCTCAGTGCCATTTACCTGGCAGGTCTGTAGATGGATATTTACAGGTACGACTACAGAGAGGGATTCCTTGGAGCCGATTCCTTCCCTCCCACAGTAAAAGAGACATATCTTAAATTTAATATCCTTGCTGGTAGTTTATTTGTTACTAGAAGAGCTGAAATTATAACAAAGCAAGCTGAATTTGTGAAGTGACTACGGCACTGATCTTCAGTCTACCATTTCAAACTGTGAGTAGTGAAAGGTCTAACTCTGCGTTTAGCAGCACACTGCTAGGGTTAATGTCAGTTATTACTATCCCTTTCCTCCTCCCAACATACGCTACACAGAACAGTGATTCTAGAGGGCTTATGGAGAATGCACCAGTCAGCCAAGTCGTATACTGTGTCTTACTTTGTCAACTGGTTGTTTCATGAAACTAGCTGCTAGGTCCAGGCACATCACAGCACTGCTTGTTGCTGTCATTTGAGCCATCAATCCTGTGCATTTCACCTGGGACAGCCGCAGATACTCTTCAGCTTTTCTGCAAAACACCCAGCATACAAAGCCCTCGTTAACAAAAGCACAGTTAGTAGACAGTAAGAATGGCAGGACGGGAACTGATTCAAGGTCTACCTCGTCCAGCACCCTGACTCCAGCAGCGGCTGCAGCACACACTTAGGGAAAGGGCGCTAAACAGGGTGGCAAACACAGGATAACACTGCCCTTTCTCTAACAATTTGCAGCGGTAGCTCTGCATTTCATCGCCTTAAACGACTCCTTCGTTAACCGCATGTACCGCAAGGTCGATAGCTTTTCTCACATCGACCAGGACCAAAGGAAACCGACGGCAGGCCGGCATTGCAAGGAGGCGAGGCACGCCTTGGCTGCCGCTGCCGTGCCGGGAAGGCTACTGGGGCTCGCCAGTCCCCCCGCCGGGAGCAGCCGAGGCCGGCCCAGCGGCGAAGCCCGGCCAGGCGGCGGCAAGGGCGCGGGGCAGCCCAGCACCGCGCGGCTGGACCCGCTTACCCGGGCGGGAATAACGCTCCCGACAGCGGGGGCGGCCGGCTGGAGCCGGTGCGTAGTAACCGGGAGCGCTGCACGTCGCGCAGGCTCTCCTACAGCGGGAGAGGACGGCACCGACTCCCGGCTGGGGCACCACCCCCCGCCCGCCCCACCGGAGGAAGACGCCGCTCCCGGGGCTCTACCGCAGCCGGGCCGCCC